GCCGGCCGGGAACCCGACCACAAGCAGAAAAGAAGTGGGAGACAAATGAAAGGAAGTGGGAGACAAGCTGGCCGGGAACCCGACCACAAGCACCCAGCCTGGGAGACAAATGAAAAGAAGTGGGAGACAAATGAAAGGAAGTGGGAGACAAGCCGGCCCGGAACCCGACCACAAGCACACAGCCTGGGAGACAATGAAAAGAAGTGGGAGACAAATGAAAGGAAGTGGCGGAGACAAATGAAAAGAATTGGGAGGCAAATGAAAGGAAGTGGGAGACAAGCCAGCCGGGAACCCCGACTGAAAAGAACTGGGAGACAAAGGAAGTGGGAGACAAGCCGGCTGGGAACCCGACCAGACCATCCAGCACCAAGGCGACCATTCTTTAAAGCATTGAGAACCCCTAACAGTAAACTGCTTGGGGAATGAAAAGAATTGGGAGACAAATGAAAAGAACTGGAAGACAAATGAAAGAAGTGGGAGACAAATGAAAGCACGTGGGAGACAAGCCAGCCGCAAACCCGACCACAAGCACCCAGGGAGACAAATGAAAAGAAGTGGGGGACATATGAAAGGAAGTGGGAGATAAGCCAGCCGGAAACCCGACCACAAGCACCCAGCCTGGGAGACAAATGATAAGAAGTGGGAGACAAATGAAAAGACAAATGAAAGGAAGTGGGAGACAAATGAAAGGAAGTGGGAGACAAGCCAGCCGCAAACCCGCGACCACAAGCACCCAGCCTGGGAGACAATGAAAAGAACTGGGAGACAAATGAAAAGAAGTGGGAAAGGAAGTGCGAGACAAGCCAGCCGGGAACCCGACCACAAGCACCCAGCCTGGGAGACCAAAAATGAAAAGAACTGGGAGACAAATGAAATGAACTGGGAGACAAATGAAAAGAAGTGGGAGACAAATGAAAAGAAGTGGGAGACAAATGAAAGGAAGTGGGAGACAAGCCAGCTGGGAACCCGACCACAAGCACCCAGCCTGGGAGACAAATGAAAAGAACTGGAAGACAAATGAAAAGAAATGGGAAACAAATGAAAGGAAGTGGGAGACAAGCCAGCCGGGAACCCGACCACAAGCACCCAGCCTGGGAGACAAATGAAAAGAACTGGGAGACAAATGAAAAGAAGTGGGAGACAAATGAAAGGAAGTGGGAGACAAGCCAGCCGCGAACCCGACCACAAGCACCGAGCTTGGGAGACAAATGAAAAGAACTGGGAGACAAATAAAAGGAAGTGGGAGACAAGCCGGCCGGGAACCCGACCAGACCATCCAGCACCAAGGCGACCATTCTTTAAAGCATTGAGAACCCCTAACAGTAAACTGTTTGGGGAAATATATACATACATACATACATACTCACATACATACATACATACAAAACATTGCATGCATACATCCATACATACAATTACATTGCATTACATGACATTACAATACAGTACATTACATTACATTACACACATACCATCCATTACATACCACTACATTACACTGCATTACATTACATTACATTACAATACAATACAATACAACACAATACAATACAATACATCACATTGCGTTACAACACATTACATTACATTACACTACATTACATCACATTACATTGCATACATACAAATAAATATATACAGGCATACACATACACATACACACACATACATGCACATACATACACATGCATACACACACACGTATACATACGTATAATAACATATACATACATAAATTAACATCTACATACATATACATATACATATACACATACATACAGACATGCATACATACTTACATAATTACATTACATTACATTATATATAGACAGACACTAACATACATACATAACTACCATACATACATGACTAACATATATCACATTACATTGCATCACATCACATTACATTACAAACATTACATTACCTTACCATACATTACATTACATTACATTACATAAGTACATACATACATACATACTTACTTACATAACATAGCATAACATAACATTGCATTCATTAATTACATGCATTACCTACATGCATTACATACATACATACGTACGTACATACATACATACACACATACATACATACATACATACACACACACATACAGACACACACTCATGATTGCGCGTACTGACTGGACAGCGGTGCCACACGCCGGCCTAGGGTACCATTTCCTGAGAGTACAAGTAAGAACCACCGCACCTGGAGGTCTTCAAAAGGAGAAGGGGCCAAAAGCACAAGTCGAGGTCGAAACGACAGGGTGACGGCGTTCGTGCACATCTGCGGAGCTCACTAGCCCTTTAAGGAGTAGAGTCACGGCTTGGTCAACAGTTCAAAAGAAACAGGTACGTCTGGAAAGCGTCCTTTCCAGATATCAGCCACAATTGCAGCCCTCTTCGTTGGGCAATCAACTGCAATGTGGGATTGCCCCCCCTGCTTACGAATCAAAACACAAAGTAAACACTCCAAAAGGAACCTTGTGACTCCAAAGGTTACACACACACACGCCTCCCTGAGGGGAGGCTTCTCATCCCTAGTAGCGTCCTTGCACCTAGTAGTAAGGCCAGGAGCCAGGAAGAAGCTGTTCCCAGCTACGACACAAGCGTCCAAGGACACACCAAAAGAAGAGGGGAGAAGGGGTCCCAGCTATGACAAAAGCATCCAGGGACACCCAAACAAGAAGGAGGGAAAGGAAAGGAAGGAGAAAAGAGAGAGAGAGAGAGGGAAAAGAGAAGGAAGAGGACAGGTGTTCCCAGCTACGAACAAGCGTCCAGGGACACACCAGCGAGAGGGATGAACCTGAGTATTACATCCAGGAACACCACAACAGGCGAAGAGGGAAGAGAAGGAGGTGGGGGGAGGAAGGGGATTAAGATCCCGGCAGGTTCCAACGAACCTCAAAAAAGCTTTGGTCGCTCTGACCACGTTGAGGCGTTAAGCCAGCTTGGACCGCTGCGGTCACATAAAGGCATGAGCCAGCTTGGAATTCAAGAATTCGACAAAATCTGAGTTCTCTCGGCCTAGGCCACCTACGCTCGCTGCGAGCTGCTGTGTATCTGGGCAGGGGATACGTTCGACAAACCCCCGTTCAACGGGTTTAGAGGGGGCACTCTGCGGGCTCACCCTGGGCTGGCACGAGGCCAGACACACTTATGATTGTGCGTACTGATTGGACAGCGGTGCTACACGCCGGCCTAGGGTACCATTTCCTAAGGGTACAAGTAAGAACCACCGGCCCTGGAAGTCTTCAAAAGCAGAAGGGGCCAAAAGCTCAAGTCGAGGTCGAAACGACAGGGTGACGGCGTTCGTGCACATCTGCAGAGCTCACTAGCCCTTTAAGGAGTGGTCAACAGTTCAAAAGAAGCAGGTACGTCTGGAAAGCGTCCTTTCCAGATATCAGCCACAATTGCAGCCCTCTTCGTTGGGCAATCAACTGCAATGTGGGATTGCCCCCCTGCTTACGAATCAAAACACAAAGTAAACACTCCAAAAGGAACCTTGTGACTCCAAAGGTTACACACACATACATACATACATACATACATGCCATGCCATGCCATGCCATGCCATGCCATACCATACCATACCATACCATACCATACAATACATACATATTAAATACATTCCATTGCATTGCATTGCATTACATTACATTGCATATATATAATGTACAGTATACGTTTGCTTTACTATAGTCTATTGCATTTTATTATGTAATCTATCTAGATAAATATATATATATATAGCTTGACCCGGAATTCGGGTGGAAAAATGAAAAAGCGGTGGATGGGGCCAAATGTCCGGAAGAATGAGCAAAGCAGGGTCACCATGTGCTGTAGACAAACTCACCCAGTGGTCCAGCAGTCCCTCATGTCGTGGCATGCAATTCTCGTCTTCCTTGTGTGAATCAGATCTGGATCGGTCCAACCACCGCTCGACTGTGAACATCGCACTTGCATCTTTGCAGTGGTCTGGCTCTGTCTGTTTTGACCAAACTAAACACTTATGTTATGTTATTTTGCCTTGTTTTCTGCCAGACTGAGGAGCTGAGAAAACCACTGCAGTGAGAGGGTGCAGTTATGCGGGCCAAGAAGGATCACCGTGGATGAAGTGAGACATATACATTATATATATTACATACACATAATATAGCCTGGATGACTGCACATAACTGCAAATAGTGGGTTGGGAGCAGATTCGATGGCACAATGCCCTCGTTCTAGATGGGCCCTCATCTAGAGGACATCTTGGGTTTCGTGTCGTCGAACCTCTGAAACCACTGTACGGCCCCTGATCACCTCTGCCGCCACGCCACACATACACACAGTGGCCCCATGATCGCACTCCCTCGAGAAGAGCCACGCGCCATGGCGCGCAGGTGGAAACGAAACGGCCCAACCCCCAGGAGGTGGGGGATTCAGGCCTCAGGGGCAAGCCGATTAAAAGAGAACAAATAGAAACTGATCATGAATTCCTGTGGCAAGGAGGAGGTTTGGGTGCTTACTCGCCTGGTGAAGTATATATATATATATATCCAGTGTTTAATGGTGTTTCCTGACGTTTCCTTCTGCAAATGAGTTCGAGGGACAAGAAGGGACCCATCAATCACTGAGACCGGAAGATGCTTTTTGTGGAGTTTGTAAAGGCTGTGGAGTATCTCTCGGTCCCTAAATCACGCTCCTGTTGCTCTTGTCTGCGTCCGTTGGCTCCTTAAAACGTGGCTTTTTCCCTGTCGGGCGCTTCGGGCGACGCCTGCGGAGCACCCTTCCGACGTTCCACTCTCGAACCCCCTGGGGCCGAGGTCTGGTGGGGTCGGCGGTGGAGAAGAGGACTTGGTGGAAAAAGCCCTAACCCACCGGGTCTACTGGCGAACTTTTTCAACCAAGGCCTCAAGAGGAACCCTACTTGGTCCCTATGCAAAACCAGGGTCTACTTGGGAACTTCCACTTGACATCGCATAGTGCAAAGAACCTCATGCTCTTCACAGTGAAGAAGAAGAAGTGGGGAGTTGAACTCACGTGAGGTCCGCAAAGTGTTGCGGGTCAATCTCCTTATTCTACATATTGCCCACCAAATCAGCCGAACTTGTTCAGTAGACCCTTAAACATTGGGGCACGCGCCACATAAACCAGCTATAGCAATCAAATGCAACCCCCCACAAGAACTAATCTGGCTTCAGGTCAAGTGCCCACCAAACCCGACTCGACGCGGATCGCGAAGAAACGCAGATTTAAGTAGACACTCAACCGAGCCTCATGCGACCATCAACCGTTTGTCAAAAGTCCAGAGATGAAAAGAACCGTGGCATTCATTGGGACGGGCACACGCTCAAGCCACCCTGAACACCCTTCACGGCCATGGCACGAGACGCAAAGGAAGCCCTCATCCTATGAAGGAGAGCGTCAGGACGAAAAGCAGGGTGGTACTGATAGAAGGCTCCTCTTCAGCTACTGATAAATGATAGAGCAGTAGCTCCAGTGACTCACGCGCCTCAAAAAACAAGGTAAGAATGAAAGGCAAGGTGTTCATCATCTAGTGCTCCCGAAGCCAATGAGCAAACAGAGGTCACGACAAGCAGTGCCAACCAGTTGCCAAGTGAGAGCCTTCCCCGAAGTAGTGTCGTAGGCCACTCAAGGCCACTCAAGCCACCATGTGGAGGTTTCTTGCCCACTCCTCTCCCTTTCCCTGTTCCTACCCGCTGCTCGAATACCAGCACCTTCCGGAACTCAGAGGTCACCTGGCTGGAAGCTCGCCCCACCCACTACCTAGCCTAGGGATCTCCAGCCAGGACACCCCAAGTTCAAGGTCCAGGGTCCAGAGATGCTTCGATACGGAAGGTCATCTCATCCCTCCTCCTTGGCACAGCCCATCACCGCAAAGACACCTTGCTCCTCCCGCATCTGAACCTCAGAGCAGGGCGAAACGGCGATGACCTTCTTCGGCGGAAGAGAACTCTTGGCAGTGTCGCGAGGAAAGAACAAATGCCGTATATAAGCGAGGAAAACCAGAGAGATGTGGCTTCAAGCCCGATGCTATTGTAAGTAACAGGCTACAGCCACAAGACACCGACCACAAGACCTTCTGTCTTCGCTCATGGGAGTTGGTATGTCCCCTCCCCAGGCCCCAGCCATGCCCCAATTTCCCCCACAGAACCTCCCCTCGTTCCAGCCGAAGGGCCAAAGCATGCCCGTCCTTGACCCGGACCTCGGCGCTCAGGAGCACGTCAGACATGTGACCAAACTGCGACCTGGATGTGCATCGCGGGCACCGACCTAAAAGCACCACAAGTTCGCTTCGGAAGTTCCAGCTCGTGTCAAACCAACCAGCTCAACGCGCAAAACAGCAGCACCAATGCCTGCCGGGCCACGTAGCCGCAAAAGCCATAGGGCGTCAAGCCTTCCTGGAGCGCTCTCGCCCCAAACGCGGTGCATCGCCACGTGTGCATTCGTGGATTGATCCCAGCCACACCCCCGGAATAGGACCGGAAGTGAAACACGCCAAAATGTCTGTGAATGGTCTGTTCGATGGCACTCCCAAAGTGTCCCCTTCAAAAGAAAAACCATGCGGCCATTGGCTGCGTTAGAGTAGTCTCCAATGAAGCCAAGAAAAATTGCTTGCCTCTCAGCTGTTGGCTGTGTCTTTTGGATCCAACACCCTTCCCCTAGTTGGTGCTTTGGGAGGACCAGCCACCTTTTGCCCCAAAAACCTGTTGTCCCAGCCAACCAGGAGCTCTGGAAGCATGCCATGGCACACCCGAAGGTCTCGCCATTTCAAAGAGGCTGGGACCTCATCCTTGGTCGACAGGGAGCGAAACCTCCAAGGGTCCTACGGGGGAGCAGCTTCCTGAGTTCTTGATCCATCTTGGCCCCGACTTCAGGAGGAGTCTAGAAACTGAGCTGTTGGGGTTCTCGGTCTCAACTCTCAACCTAATGGCGCACCCAAAGTAAAGAGTGAGCACCACACACCCCACGAGCCAAAACTCGGCTCAACTGGTGGCGATGCTCGTCGCAGTTCCCAGCAGATCTCACGAATCGCATGGTGCATATTGCAACAATGGGGGAGATCTTGCTGCCTTGCTCTGTTGGTTTGAATCAGGACCCAGTCAGTCATCGAATCGAAGCGACCCATCACGTGTCCTCATGCGGCCGGAACTGGGTCGTTCCACGGCGTTCTTCGAACTCCTCCATTCCCTCACGTCCCTCCAAGCATCAAAGCGCAGTACCAGACCACGCTCCTTGGGTGGTGGACGAAAGATTACGAAAAATGATGTCCAAGTCAAGTCAAAAGACCCCACACAAACACAACACATCACCCCCACCACCAAAAAGACTTGGGAAGAACATCTTACGCATTTAGACTGGAAAGAGCCTGCGTTAGTGACATCAGTGGCATCTTCCCCCTTCGCGACGAGCTCTTGGTGAGGCGCGCGCCATCCTTCCCCGTCAGGAGCAATCCAGTTCACCACGCCGGCCCAGCTGGCCCACAACAAGGCCCACCATAGAGACCACCGGTTTCTCCTGCCCTGGTGCCATTGGAGCGATCTACTTTCTGCTTCCGCGACCTTTCGAGGTTTGCCCATATTTTTGGAGTCCAAACCGCCCCAGAGGTCCTCCGTCTATATAAGCCCCCTAGAAGTCCAAAGGCCAAGCACTGCAGGAAGGTGCGACTCTACGGACCATCTATATAAATGTGATGAAAACATGGATGTTTCCGGGCACTCTCCACCCAAACCCACACATGACCCTCCACCAAACCCTGCCTGCCCCAACGGGGACCCGTCCCGGATCCCTCCCTCGCCCGAGCGCCACACCATCGACTTGGCGCTCTGCAAGGCTTCGTCCTCGCAGCCTCGGAGGAGCTCAGCACAGAGCAGCGAAGCTCAACGGATCTGGCTTGGTTGGTGGAACGCAACAGAAGACCCCAACACGTGCAATGTGTTTTGTATGTTTTTAGCGCCAGTGAGTCTACACCAGAACATGCCACAAGTATCAGGAAAGAAAGAGAATTGGGAAGGTGTCGCCATGCTTGCTTTCATCTTGCGATTGCAGGTTCATGCTGCTCCTCCAAACAAAACCCAGTCTAGTAACTCACAAAACTCCACCTCTCAGGGTCGACCTCACCGACCTCAGGACATCGCGCGTCGCACGCGCCGAGGACCGTCGAGGCGTCGGGGTCGTCGCTGTTCCCCACCGCGGGTCCGTGGGGTTCACCCCCCTCCATGCGGTTCTCGCCGAGGCGCGGCGCCGCTTCTCTTCGCGCTCCTCTTCGAAGCCTGGGTGAGCCAGAACCCGAACCCGCACCCCCAGGCGGAAGGTGACACCCCCGAACCCCAAAACCCGCAGCAGGTGATCTGTGTCTGGTTTCTTGGGTTTTCTCTGTCAGGGCAGGAAAAACTGATTGATCCCCTAGGCTATTCTCACCTATACTATACAGTGCACAAGCGTACAAAGACTTACCCAATTTATATATATATATATACAGATATATACAGTATGTTTGGAAGGTAGCAATCCGACGACCACCCACGAGGTTCGTGTGCCCAACGGTGAAAGGCTGCTGGCCCCCAGCTCTCATGCTTCCGCTTCACTTGTGCCTGGCGCGACAGAGGGCGGAACACGCACAAACCCAGGAACCGAAAGAATGTGGTCTTCTACAAGTCGAGATTGCACCATGAACACCCAAACCGTTCCAGAACCGTCCAAAAATAGGACCTCTTGGACCCAAACTGTGATCTGAAAGTGCACGCCAAACACCTGCCCAGCTCTCTTTCTCAGAACGCGCCCCTTGTCTGCGACCCGGCGCCTCTCGTTCTTTGCGGAGGTCACAGAGCTGGCGCCTGGGGCACTGGACGGTGCGAAAGGTCCGACGGGACCCTGGCGAGGCTTTGGACGAGCGCGCCGGGCATGTGCCGGAGGCCACCATACCAACGGTCTCCCAAGAACCTGATTTTCTCTGATTTTGCTCCACCTCTTCTTTCCCAGCTTCACTTGATGCCCTCTTTTTGCCCCGCGCCACCTGGGCCGGACATGGCCGGACCCTGCCTGACCCGATCCCAGTCTCAGCCTCCGGGCGCAGGCTCCAAAGCCCCACCCTTCCAGGTCAAAGGCTCCCTGGGACCGGTTCCCATGCACCGGTCCGATTTGAAAGGAAGAAGAGGAAGCAGGTCCACCCGGAAGATGGGGGACGACCCAGGTCCGGCTCCACTGGATGTGAGGGAAGCCAGCCATTCCGTTGGAACTGCAGGTCCATGAGACTTCTTGCTAAGAAGTTCCCACCTGGACATACACGCAAGCTTTCTTCACCGTTCAACCGGTTACGTCGTCCCAGGAGAAGAAAATACTAGTCTAGTCTATAGTCTCTGACGTTGTGGATCTTCGCACAGAAATTCCTCAGCACCGGACCCGCGAGCCACCAGTGCCGCAGCAGCCTAGTCGGCCACAGGCAGAAAACTGTATAGTCATGCGTCATGCGTCGAAAAACTGCCATAGCTGGTTATCTTTGACAGATTTTCAGCCAAACAAGACGGGTTGGGTTGGAATCTGCCGGTGCACAAATAGAGAAGTGTACCAAGTTTTTGAAGAAAGGTTGAGGGTGCAACGACACGCACTCAAATCGAGAAGTATACCAAGTTAGGGTGAACCCAAAGCCCTTTCTTTGTTCAAGTGCGGCGGAAAAAGCAGCCGCTTTGTGTTTGGCGGGTTATGAGCCCAACGACCCTGCCATAGGAGTCGAAAGTCCACCTCACGGAGTTGAGTGTTGGTCCCCATGGCGTCGCAGCCGCTGCCGGCGGAAGAGTCCGCGGGGACTCCGGAGGAGGGGTCCATGACCAGCGCCAAGGAGGATGGGCCCTTGGCGTTGGAGGATCAGCCGACGCTGGCGCTGGCGCTGCCCGGAAGCAGCGGTCCGCGAGGACCTCCGGTGGTCTATGGGCCAGCTCGACAAGGTGGAGTACGAGAGAAGGAAGGAAAGGGGAAGGGACTGCAGGGAAAGGTGGTCACCAACCCCTTCTGGAGCGAACGGCTTCAGAACGAGGTCATGCTCCGGGCTATGCGGCCGACGGCGCTGCCAGCAGCTGATCCAGAGACCGGGTACCACGAGGGCGCCTCAACTTCTGGACGGGTGGAGCCTGGAGAAGAAGGACGAGGTGTCTCGGTGGACATCCAGGAGTTGCTGAAGGCCGTGATGGCCCAGAATGCAGCCTTGAAGAAAGAGGTGGCAGAACTTCGAAGAACGGTGGAGGCCAAGCCGGCCAAAGCCATTGAAGATCGACCAAAACCACCGACTACTACGCCACCTCCATCTCCGCCGAAGGCACCGCCTCCAGTGACGCCGGATCGTGGAAGGAAGAGGGACACCAGTCAGGCATGGGCCGACGTGGAGATTCCGGAGTTCCCGGGCGGTGGAACTGGGGCGAAGCAGCAGGCCACTATGAGGAGAGACGGAGATCAACGAAGTTCCAACGTACCCGGAGTGCCAGGTTCTTGGGGAGTTCAAGGGTGGGGACTACAACCCGGACACCAACGAGGTGATGAAGCTGGACATCAAGAATCTGGCGAGGGGATGCGAGAGCTGATGAGGGGCTCTCCGTTGGAACAGGCAGCGCAATCGGTGTTGCGGCAACTCGGCACCAGTTCGTCGGATGGGAACTGGGGGGAGGTGATTAGGTCCGTGGAGCTGCCACCATTACAGGACCTTCGAGAAGGAGACCTGGGGTCGTTGATCTTGGGGGACTGGATTCAGCTCATCACTCCAACGATGAAGGACTTGAGTGCGACGAGCTGGAGGTGGTGGGAAGAGGTGATGAACCTGGCCATGATCGCCTATAGGGAGTGGCTCCAGGCTGAACCTGTCCAGAGGCTGTATATCAGACCTCGGGTGCCCCCGGAATGTTCTGGAGGTTGGAGTCGACTTGAACAGCGAGGGCAGCTCATGCTGATCAACGCAGTTCCACAGAATATCAAGGCCGAAGTCCTAGCGAGCCGGACCACGAGCTCGGTGGAGGTGCTGTACGCCCTGTTCCGGCGATATCAACCGGGCGGTCTGGCAGAAAGATCGAGACTGTTGAGGCAGCTGGTTGAACCAAAGGCTCCTCAGACCATGGATGAGGTGGTGGAAGCACTTCGAGGTTGGAGGAGAAGCCTGAGACGAGCCCAGGAGCTGGACATAGCTACGCCCGATGCCACGTTGTTGCTGGGTGCACTGGATAAGATGTCAGAGCTGGTGGCACGGACGTCGAGTCAGGTGGCATTCAGGATGTCATCGACCCGGGCAACCTTGGGAGTCGACGTCACCCCCAACCTGGAGACGGTCCTGAACTTCTCGGACATGCTCACAGCAGAGGCGGAGTCGCTGGCGATCAGTGAGCTGAAACCCATCCAGGAGGTCAAGTCATCACCACCGACTACGAAGGTCAAGGCGATGGCCGCAGCACTGGAGGACAAGGGTGAGAAGGGGGCTGGAAAGTCCAAGGGCGATGGCAAGCCGGAAGAAAGAGTTTGTCGGTTCTGGGGGTCTGAAGATGGCTGCCGGAAGGGGCAAGAATGCCGGTTCAAGCATGAATGGGGAAGCTTGGAGAAGAAAGGTCGGTGCTTTGGCTGCTCCTCGACAAAACACACCAAGAAGGAGTGCCCTGCGACAAGGGTGAAAGGGGAGGGAGAGAAGCATGTCAAGACCTTCAAGAAGGAGAATGACAAGGGCTCGGGAGCTAAGAAGGGGGAGAAGGACATGGATGGAGAGTCGCAGCAGATTTCCCCGGATCCCGTTGCCGATGACAAGAAGATTGAGAAGCCCGCAGCGAGTTCCGGCGAGGTGCAGGCATTGCTGTCGGAGGCAACGACTCTCTTGAAGAGCTTGAGGCCCGTTGGAGAAGGTCGAGCCGGGGTGAAGGCCATTAAGCTGAGCAGCCTCGAGGTGAAGACCAACGACAGAGCACTTCTTGACGGAGGAGCCACCCACTGTCTACGCAGAGCGGAGTCGGAAGAGGAGTGGCAGCGGGCTCAGGAGGTCCGAGTGGAGCTCGCGGAAGGATCAGTCGTCCTTCGTCAGATCCCTTGGACGAAGACTCTCCTCACCCAAAATGAGGCGCAGACCATCGTGCCTTTGGGGGTCCTGATTTCGCTTGGATATGAGGCCTACTGGGAGAAGGACCGGTTCACACTCACTGATCCGAGCGGGGCCCTCCTGGATGTTGCTGTGGAAGGTATGTGTCCCACTGTCGCAGAGGGCCTCGGACGAGAGCTCATCATGGAGATCGAAAGGAGCATGGTGAGAGAACGAGCGAGGCTGGCGGTGCTGAAGGGAGAGGAAGAGCAGAAGGAGTTGGGGACGGACGAGATTCACCATCTTCGTGAACTGCGGGAACTATTTCCTGAGGTACCTCTTCAGCTGTTGGTGAGGATCCTGCCGAAGACTGGATGGACGGGGGAGGCTCTCCCGTGGAACCGACATGAACGGCGGAGGGTCAGGAAAGCCAGGGAGGTGGTGATTCACCTTTTCAGTGGAGACACGAAGAAGTATTGGCAGCGAGAGCTTGAGTCCGAGGGGAGAGCGGTGCTTTGCGTAGACACCGTGATTGACCCAGGGATGAACATTCTCCGGGATGATGTCTTCGCCTACCTGTTGGAGATCGCCGACGGTGGCACTCTTCGAGCTCTACTGGGAGGACCGCCCTGCAGGACGATGAGCCGGTTGAGATACCGACAACCGGGGCCTCCACCGCTCCGAGAACGTGAAGGCCCAGGGCGATTCGGACTGCCCAATCTGGATCCAGTCTTGAAGCGGCAGGTGGAGGACGATACGCTCCTCTGGCTGAGGCAGGTCTACCTTCACCACAGAGCGTCGAGGGCAGCACAACCGAGGACGGTGGTGACAGCTTTGGAACAGCCTGATGACCCGGAAGCCTATCTGAGTGACGTCAAGGAGGGCACTGGGGGAGCGGGGATCTCGGAGAAGGATGAGAAGTCCGGTGAGGTGGCAACCCATCCTCGGTACCCGACGTATTGGTCCTGGCCAGAATGGCAAACTATGAAGGAGCAGTGGGGTCTATTTGAAGTGAGATTCGACCAAGGTCCCATGGGGCACGCCCGGAGGAAACCTACGAGACTGGGCACGAACATGCCAAAGCTCCTCGAGTTAGAAGGCTTGCGAGGACCAGGACACGGGGGAGAAGAACATCAGGGAGACTCCATCCAAGCACGGATTGCCCGGTCAAGGTCATGGGCATCCTGGGCACCAGGGTTGAAGGCAGCACTGGTGATAGCGGTGAGGGACGCTCTGGGAGATGGACTTCCTCGTGCCAAGAGAATGAATCTGGACCAGTGGAAGCGGCATCTCCTCAATGGGCATCTGCCATACAGCAGAGAATGCAAGGCGTGCGTGGTTGCTGCCTCGAGAAGCAAGGCTCACCGACGCATTCCACACCCAGATGCGTATACTCTGTCGATCGACACAGCTGGACCGTTCGAGTTGGCGGAGGATCAACTGGGAAAAGGGCGCTACTTGTTGGTGGGCGTCTACCTGGCTCCGGTGACGAAGGAGGGACAGTCGCTAATCCCGATCAACGAAGAGGAGGAGTTGCCGGGAGCGGGAGAGGACGGCCCAGAGCTGCAGGTGGTCGAAGATGAAGGGAATGAGGGCGTGAGAGAAGAGTGGCCAGGCCTAGATGATGAAGAGGCATGGCTGGAGAAGATTGAGGCGGAGAGCGACTTCCAGGTCAAGCAGATCCTTGTGGTGGAGATCTTGGAGAACCGCGGAGGACCAGCAGTCGTCGAGGCAGTTGGGAGGATGGCGGCGAAGCTGGACTTTCTTGGGCTTCCCGTCAAGCGGCTCCACTCAGACCGGGCAGGAGAATACCAATCTCGGACCTTCCAGAAGTGGTGCCATGACAGGGGCATCATGAGAACCTTCAATGATGGTGACAACTTCAAGGGCAATGGCCATGCGGAGAATGCGATTGCCCAGGTGAAACGGGGCGCTAGAACGCTTCTCATTGCAGCCGGCTTGAACGAGAGCTTTTGGTGCCACGCGGCAAGGCATTGGGCTGAAGGCCGCCTGAGACGGCAGCTGGAATCGATGGGTTGGAAGAGGAGAGAACTGGCCCCCTTCGGACAGGTCGTCTGGGCGAAAAGGAAATACTACAGCGACCGGCAGAAGTACCTTTCAACGACCAGGACTCAAGTCCGGGTGCTGTGTCCGGCGGTCACGATGTCAATGACGACTCCGGGCTACCTGGTTCAGGAGATTGAGACAGGAAAGCTGTTCCACACCGGAGACATCATCCAGGTCGGGGAGATCCCGGAGGAGGCTGAGGTCCCTGAGAGGGAAGCAGGAGTCATCCACAAGGTGGACGATCGGGAGGAGACAGACCAGCCTCGGAGGAGACCTGGCCGGATCCGGAGGTGTGTGAAGAGGCAGTCGAGTCAGGAGGATGGTTGTGGGGCCGCAAGCTGGGGGGAGCTACAGCATCGAGGAGCCCAACTTTTGGCTCGGGAGTTGAGCCTGTTGGAGGAGGATGAAGGTGAGATCGTGAACGAGAGGTTCTTAAAGATGTTGACCACGGAGGTCGAAGAGATAGTCGAAGAAGCCGTGAGAGAAGGGCGACACGAAGAGGCACAACTGTTGGCGGAGGCCGAACAGGCAGTGGGAGACCAACAGGAGTTCCTGCAGACCAGGATGGTAGGGCTGGCTGAAGTTCGGAAACACTTGAAAGAGTGGAGACCGTCCATGCTGGAGGAATACAACGCCCTGATCAAGGAGTCCGAAGCCGTTGAAGCCATCGACCAGAGGCAGGCAGATCAGTTGAAGGAGGAAGCCAAGTCTCTGGGGAAGGACTTTGATCTTGTTCCGGCCAAGGCTATTTTTAGCCGGAAGGCGGGAACTGGGAGACACAAGTGTCGAGGAGTCGCATGTGGCAACTTCATGAATGCCAAGAGCTCTGAGTCCACTTTCGCATCAGGAGCTAGTGGGATTGAGGTGAGGATGCTGATCAAGATGGCCTCGATCAAGCAGTGGGCCCTCGCCACCATTGACGTCAAGACGGCGTTCCTCAACGCACCTGCTGCCCATGATAGAGGGACAGTAGTGGTTCAACCACCAAGGATCTTCCAGGAGGCGGAGGTGCTCCAGGAGGCGAATGAGCTTTGGTTGGTCAAGAAAGCCTTGTACGGGTTAGTGACGTCCCCTCGTGATTGGTGTGATCACAGAGATGAGAAAATCAAGGCCTTCAAGTGGGAAAGTGAAGGAAGACAGGTGCGAGTGCAGTCGACACCTCAGGCGGACATCTGGTTGCTCCAGGAGCTGGAGGCTCAGGGGATGTGGGTCGCCAAGGGAGCACTGGCGACGTACGTGGATGACGTCCTGATGGTGGGGGAAGAGAAGATCATCCAAGGATTCATCGACCAGGTCCAAGAACACTGGAAGATCGGTGATCCTTCATGGGTGGCAGAAGGCCAGGAGCCAGTGCGATTCTTGGGAATGGAGATTGAGAAGCGGGGAAGGGACTATGTCATTCACCAGCAGGCGTACATCACCAACCTCCTCAACGAGTATGACGACAAGGAGCGAAGTGCCTTGGGCCAGGTGCGAACCCCAGAGGAGGAGGAACACCCCACGGCGGAGCAAGTCCTTCGAGCACAGAAAGAGACCGGGGAGCTGTTGTGGGTGGCAGGGAGAACACGTCCTGACCTGTCGCTTGGGGTGGGAATCATGTCCCAGTGGGCATCGAAGAGGCCGAAGCAGGTGATCAAGATTGGGAAGCAGCTCCGAGCTCACCTTCGAGAAACAGTGGAAGAAGTCCTGGTGATGACCGCTGACGCTGGGACGGGGGGAGCCGAGCCCGAGAGCAGTGAGGAGGCAGTGATCCAGAACATTGACATCTACACGGACGCCTCGTATGGGTCATCGGAGTTGAAGAGCATCTCTGGCGTTGCGGTCTTCGTTGGAGGGTCGCCAATAGGGTGGCAGACGACGCGCCAGCCCTTTATCACCCTGTCGACTGCAGAGGCAGAGCTGATGGCGCTGCTGGAGGGGCTGATTGCAGGGAGATCGACCGCGGCTCTGATCGAGGCGGTGACGGGTGAGACTGCCAGGGTGAGGTTCCACTCCGATTCCACTGCAGCGATAGCGATTGCCACAGGGACTACATCATCGTGGAGGACCAGACACTTGAGGATCCGAGCAGCCGGACTCACCGAGGCGATCAAAGAGAAGGAGATCACCTTGGATCACGTGTCCGGGAAGGTCCTGGTGGCAGATGGCCTCACCAAACAACTCACGGGACCGGCCTTGGGGAGGTTCAAGAAGGCTTTGGGTCTCAAAGGGGTCGAGAAGGAGCCGATTGAAGTTAAAAAGATTGAGCTGACCAAGACCATCGACCCGGGCTTCACCAGAGGACTAGGACTCCTAGTCGCAGCGGCCAGTCTGATGGGGAGAGTGGAAGCTGCGGAGGTGGAGGTGGCAGAGACTACGGGAGAGTGGTGGATCATTGTCCTGATCACGGCCGCCATCGCCATTCTGGTGGACATTGCCTTCCGGGTAGGAGCTTCGGGTGTTCAGCGATGGTTTAGGCCAAAAGAAGAGATCAAGGTGAAGTTGCTAAACCCTGAGGCTCGACTTCCGACGAGGGGATCAGACCATGCAGCGGGACTAGATTTGTACTCAACCATCGAGACCCTGGTTCCACCTGGTGAGAGCGTCCTGGTCAAGACTGGGATTGCCATGGAGTTGCCGACGGGCACCTACGGAAGAATAGCCCCACGATCATCACTGGCGATTCGAGGCATCGAAACGGGAGCTGGAGTGGTGGACCGGGATTTCCGGGGCGAAGTGAAGGTTCTGCTGAGGAACTGGTCTGATGACGACCTGAGGGTCTACAAGGGTGATCGAGTGGCTCAGTTGGTCGTGGAGCGCATCCTGGAGGTGGGGGTGAACCATGTGGAGGACCTGAGCGAAACTCAGAGGGGAAGCAGAGGTTTTGGATACTCAGCCCACGAAGAAGCGTACCCTTGGGCAGAACCTGATGACCCCCTCTACCAGAGACAGGAGCTGGGAACAAGGACACCCGTGAGCCGGATCTCATTGAGAACGATGAGGGTAAGCTCAAGTCAGAACCAAGTTCCGGAGACAAACCCTGGGCAGACATCGGCTGAAGAGGCAGGCAGAGGAACTGGCCAACCATCTCCAAACCGACCTGAACCAGCTGAACGTCACCCGGGACCCGATCCTGACCTATGGCATCGTGGACACTATGATCCAGAGGCAGAGAGGAAAAGGAGAGCGAGCCTGGGCCTGGGGATGTCGGCCTGGGATCGGATGATGGAGAGACGAGGCCCTAGGAAGAACTTCGGAGGGACTTGGATCATGATGGACTCCGAGGGCACTCACGTGATCTTCAATGAGCACGGCTCGGATCGACCATCGCAGCCCTCGGTAACACAGAAGGCTGAAGGGGTAGAGGAAGGCACTGCATCATCGGCATCGAAGAGGGCACCGGGCATTGGAGCTGGCGAGACGGAGGAGAAGGACGAGACCGAAGGAGCTGCAGGCTCCAGGGGCGGGGCATCCGAAATGATGGCCTTCGGAAGCAAGGGAATCGGGATGAGGAGTGAGGCACTGAACTTCATCTCACCGGTCGGCGATGGCATCACACTCGGGAAGTGGACCCTATGGAACGAGGAGGTGTGGGATTTCTTGCAGGACGAGCTCTTTCAGCCGGGGTTCTTCACGGCAGCGCTGCGAAGGAAGGTGGGAGTTCCGCCGAAGAGGACTGCAGCTAAGGACACGTGGCTGACGATCGAGGACCTGCCTGACGGGGGGAAGGTGACGATCAGGGAACACGTCCAAGAGAGGAAGAAGATGTTCGACTTTGAGAACCCGCATCTCTGGGACGAGCGAGAGTGGTTGCCATGGAGGCTCACGATAGCTTGGGCGACCCTGAGGAAGGAGAAGTACATCATGGTCGACCAGAGGCAGGGGAAGAGAAGCTCCTATCTGCCCAACACGTGGGTCGGCTACACGCTCTTTAGAACACCCAGAGCGGAAGTGAGAGGGGGCTTGAGCTGAAGGTCGAAGTGACCTTTTCAAGCAGAGGCCAAAAAGGCCGGCTTTTGAAAGGCACCGAAATTGGCCACTTTGGCCAAGGGGGAGTGCCGGTGCACAAATAGAGAAGTGTACCAAGTTTTTGAAGAAAGGTTGAGGGTGCAACGACACGCACTCAAATCGAGAAGTATACCAAGTTAGGGTGAACCCAAAGCCCTTTCTTTGTTCAAGTGCGGCGGAAAAAGCAGCCGCTTTGTGTTTGGCGGAATCAACCCGAAGAACCAAGCCTGGAGTACATCCATGGGAAATTGAAAATGGTCTAAATATGTTTATATGAATGGTTTGCCTGAAAAGCGTTAGTTGGAATGTCTTCATTCAGTGCCAAGTGCTGGTTCCTGACTTAGAGCGTAGTTACACAGCAACGTGGCACCCGTGCCGGGCACCTCGGTTTACGGTACAGGCTTCGGTTTCCCATTTGGTTCCACTACTATATACACAAATAGCCAAACAAACATAACCCTCCACCTCAAAAATAGAGCCCAGTAAAACGAGGCCTTTGACTTGGAGGGTAATATATGGCACACACACACACACACCCGCCCAAAAAAAAGAGAAGATAAAACGTGCAAAAGCCTGGAGACCTTCACGACCGGAACCTAGCCACTCCGGGCTTGGTATTTGAAAAAGGGGCGAGTCTGATGAACGTTTTTTGGCTGGTGCGTTCTCCGCATCGAAGGTACCCAACGGACAGTTTCGGGACCCCTCAAGGGTGAATTCTAGACAAAAATGAAACCAACAACCCGGAGGGAAGACATCCTGCTTTCCATGTACCAGGGGGATAGTGGGGGGCAAAGCCGGATCTGATCAAGCATACCGTGGTCTCCTGATTCTTTCCTAGGACGGGAGCTCGCCCTTTTTGTGCCTTGTGTCGGCAGGTACCGACGCGAATCCTTTGCTCGCGTTGAACACACATGCCCTTCTTTCGCATCGGATGGGCCAAACAATTCCGCTACGAGCGTGCGCTCTCAATCAAATGGCTTTGGTTTCTTCCACACTGGCTGCAAACCGTCCATCCGTCAAAGCCCTAAACGACCCCTGCATTTAGAAGGGTGACTTCAACTCTCATCTATCACTTTCATCTAGGTCACACCCCAGTTTCCAGGGTGTTTGCCAGGTAAAAATGGAACTTAACCAGAAGGCCAAGGTTGCTCCAGAAGGCCAACACACACAAAAAAAGGGAAACAGCGACCTGGGCATCAAAAACCTGGATGCTGCACTTCTTGGACGGGCTGATGCTTTGGTGAGACCATGTGAGATTCATTCCATGAGTTCGTTCCAAGAGTTTGCTTCGACATGATTCATTCATTCCATGAGATCTTCGCAGTTCTTCCGGTGCGGCCTTGAGGACCTCCGGCAATGGAGGTTTCGACTAGGGAGGCACCAGTCGATACCGGTCCTCCAATTGCAAGCAGGGGTTGGTGTCGGGCCAGCATAGCACAGCCATGGCGGTACAGCGCCCGAAGTAACCATCGAGGCCTCAGGACCGGAGACTGTAGGCCCTGTAGGCATGGTCACCCTGCCGTGAGGACCCACAAGAAAACCATGCTCGACCATTGGTCCTTGAGGGGGCCTGGGACACGTGTAACACTACATCATGTGCAATCTCAACCTCTGCAGCGAATTGGCGGCTGAGCCAGTTCCCAGCGCACCTAGGGTGGGGCCCAGTGAGAGACCCCACAGAGACAGAGACCTCCAGTGACTCCACAGAGACCTCGCTGCGGCTCCCACCCGCTCCAGGTCCGAGTGGCTGTTGTCGCCCGCGTTGCCGTTGCCCACAAAGCTCCAGGGATCCCATGCATTCACCAACAAGCTGCTCGAGCAGCACCGCTCGCCCTCCGGCGTGAAGACCTGGGCAGACTCGAGCAGCCCGGCTCCTTTGGACCAAGACGGACGGACGAAGATGGCATGGGCCCCAAAAGACATGACCAAATCATCCGCAAAGAAAAGACTGGGCGGGAGCCAGCGGCGTCTTCGGGCGAACTGACCTCGGAACCAGCCCGAGGTTGGCTTCTTTTCAGGGCTGACTGAACTGCAAAACCTTCTTTCTTCATCCACGCTTCCCAATCAGGGATGAACTGCAACTCCTTCGTCTCGATCTCGGGATACCGCGCCATCACCGGCTCCAGCGATTCCTCATGGCACGGGGCTCGGGGCTCTCCGCTCTCTCTCTCTCTCTCTCTCTCGCTCTCTCGCTCTCTGTGGCGGGCATGACTCGTCCCCCAACTTCCCTTAAAGGCTTGAGACCTAAGTGGTTTTTTGGGCGCGAGTTCACAACCAGAAAAGGCCTCCTCAGAACTCCTGGCCCAAATCCCAGAGCACAATGTTTGGAAACCTCCGATGCATAACAAAACATCCACGATATGGCATGGGAATGGGGCCAAGGGTCTTGAGTGCATTTCTCTGGTGGAACTTGCTTACTAAGGGACTGCCCAAACCCAATACCATGAAGCTGCTCAGAATGTCTTTGGCACCCTGGAATCCATGCTGTCTCACCGATTGCCATACAGAGAACAGCGTTTTGTCACGGGGGTTGGGGGGGGGGCGGGGGGGGGGGGCTATGGTGCTTAGGGCTTGCTCAGTGATAGTGTGCAAACAGTGTGCATTCTTATTAAGCTTCTAATAATTACCCCGGGGTGAAAGTTGTTGGCGCAACTCAGGGGGTAGCCACCATAGCCATAGATGGCTCAACACCACATGTCAATTGAATCATCTTTGAGCTAGGAAGCACAAAAAACTGTCGCAAAAAAATCATTAAACATCACGAAAACTAGGGCTGCAAAACCTATAGATGGCGCATCCCAAAGCTCTTTTTCTCCCATCCCAAAAATAGAACGCGGCAAGCAAACACAAGGACTTCTCAGGAATCTGGACACTGAAGGAGCGTCCAAGTGTTGCTGAAAATGGCGCAGGGCATCCCTGGGGGTGGTTCATAGTACCTTTGTGTTCACCTGTTGTTCATCTACTTTCCTTTTCCTCCTTTTCACTTTCCATTCCTTTCCTTCTCCTGTCCATGTGCTTTCCCTCTCCTTTCCTTTTGTTTCCTTTCCTTGACTTCTCCTGTCCCTCTCTGTTCCTTTCCCCGTCTTTCCCCGTCTTTTTACAGTACTAGTAGCAGCTATTAAGCTTTTAATGGGCTTTTAACCACCATGGAAAAGGCCTTTAATAAGGTCTTAGCAAGAAGACCCCAATAAAGTCTTATTAGCCTTGGATAGACACAGGATAGCTTATCCAAATGAGACCACCCAATCCCAACCCGATGTTTTCATCCATCGGCTCCGCTCGATTTGGCCGCCGTTCCTTTCGGGGCCCTGGCTCCAAAAAGCCAGCGACTGTTCTTTGACAATCGATTGAGTGTTTCATCAATCATTAAATTTATAGTTAATATATATATATATATGTATGTGTGTGTGTCCAGAATCTACCACCAGAATTTCAAAAGCTAGTGCTTAGGCCTTTTGTGGGGTTCAATTTGAGGGCTCCTTTGGTGGCATTCCTGGCCTCACCAAAAGCCTTCTGGACAAGCTATTCAGGGCTTATCCATGGGTTACCCTAAAAACCTCCTGCCTTGCAGATTCCCCCTTATCCAAGGCTTATCCAGGTCTTATCCAGAAATTAGCCAGTGCCCTCAACAGTTATCGATTTTGGTGCCTCAAAAGGTTCCCAAATTGATTAATGATTCATTGGCTGATAGATCAGCCATGATCAGCCCATGCCAACTGGAAAACCTGAATTCAATTCCTCTTTCCTTCCACCAAACAACATTATGAGCAACAACATCTGCTGAGCCGTCGGATGGTCAAAATCCGCCACGGCAAAAAACGTGCACATGTCTGTTTTGGAGGGCCTGCAGGAAGGGGCTGATCTGATAGTTATTTGATGTTATATACTTGATAGCTTAGTCATTCTCTAAAAAGGCCTTGGGCATAAGGTCCATAGCCCCCCCCCTCAGCCCCCATGATTTTGAATGATCCATGATCCATAATGATCCTATACTATTGCCCAAAATAAGGGCTAGCAAGGCAAGTAGATAATTTAAAAAGAACTGTCGGATCTTGTTTGACACTTTCAAATTTCACGCTGCAAAGGCACTTTCCTCAGGGCTTGGTAGTCGAAGTTTCCCCCCAGCAGCAACGAAAAGGCTCCGCCCCCCACTTGCGAAAGCCGCACGCACTTCAGCTTCTTCTCATGTGCGCAGAAATAGATATATTCCTGGGGAGCGGTTGTCACTGTGACCCCTGCACCACAAGCTCCTGAAAAATGGAACAAATACAGGGACCACTGATCACCAACTTACTCATATATCCCGTCCCTGTTTCTTTGTTCATTCGTCTTTTTGGCGGGTTCGGGGGCATTTCGGTGATGCCTGTGCATGTCCAACTGTCGCAAGTCCGGTAGATCACTTGTGTGAAGGTGCAATCGAAAGGGGGGGCACGGCCGCAGCGTGTGCCTCGCCGATACACCAAAGGCGGATCTTCTGACAAAGAGAGTGGTGACCACCCTCACATCGCATGCCGTGTGTCCCACATTTGGCTCATCTTCTTGACAAGCTCTGCTCTCCGTCCATCCTCCTGGCAGCAACAACACTTTGTGCCCTTCTGCCTTGCCACCTTGCGATCACTTGATACAGTAAACACGTCGATTTCTCTATATTTTATATATATATATATATATATATTCATGTATGTGTGTATGAGTATGTATGTAACAACCATATGTCCCTAGTAAATATATATATATATACTTCACCGCAGTTGGTCAGGACCGTGGCGAGGAACGTCATCGTGGTTCAGGAAGTACTGATAGTCTGGCTGCTGAGTCTTGTCGAAGGCAAAGCCTATGACATTGATCACGTGGACCTCAAACGGCTCAGCAGGCGACCAGAAATCCCTTGGCCCATGGGGCGGTCCCGCTCCCTGGCCAAATCTCGCACTCGTTTCCAGGAATTCCACGAATCACAAACTGCAAGGGTGCAACAAGCTGGTTGTTCGAGTTGGTGCTTAGCTTTTCTCATGTCCTGCAAACTGAAACCTCCTAAAGTCGTTTCCCCTAGACAAATGGTGAAGCTAGCTGGCACCATATTCCGTGGAGTTGCCTACTGTAGGCATCGTCAACGACCCCACGCGCTGAACAAAAACATCGGCTCGGGGCCCCCAGTCGATCCGTGCTAGGCGCGTCCCGCTCGCGGCCGTCGGGCGCCCGCATGGGCGTTCGGCAGTAGACGGCGAGGTTGGGGCCCAGCCGCTCGCTGGAGCTCAGCCGCCCTGGACACCACGAGACATGGGCCAGACCCAAGTCGAGCAGCCCAGGTCGAAGCAAATGGCTCCGACCCCGTCGGGGTACACCGACAAAAGAAAGAGAAACCATTCGTTTGGAGGGCCATGCAAAGGGTCATGGCGACGTCTAAAGCACATCAAGGAATCTCCACTTATGGCCCCTGCCTTGGAGTGACTCGCGCCACTCATGACTCACCTTGCCAAGACCACCCCGCAACACATCTTCCCTCCTAATTCAACTCAGAATCCGTAAGCGCCAGTGGCATAACCTCAGACAGGATCTTTCAGCTCAAGAGTCCAATCAAATCCCGCACTCATCGCACTTCAAACACCATGCGTGTGCGCTTGCCTCACCAACTCCCAAGCTGCCGGCCCAACCAAAACGGCAGCCGACTGATACCAAGCACCACCCCCCACCCAAGCCAGAACCTGCACCAAAGCCACCGAAGTACTCTTGCATCTTCTGCTGGTCGTAGCGTCGCTTCATGCCGATGTTCACGGGCTCACGCTCTCGGACCAAGCGCTTCACCTCCGCGAGCTGAGCGCCCTGCGGGTAGTAGACGGTCACCTCGGCAGCGGTCCAAGCCTTCTCGACGTGCGGCCCCTTCGCAAAGGGCGTTCGCGCGCGTAGGATGGGAGGGGGGGGACTTCCAGCTCTTCCACGTGCCCCTCTTCAGTCAGCTTGATTTTACTTTGCCACTCAATCAGTCAGCTTGGTGTGGTTCCCTCAAAGGCGATGTTCAGCTCTAGCTGCACTCTGGGCATAGACCTCCAGACTGCCCTCGCCCAAGCGCTCGCAGCTCCAAGAGGGAAAGGCAAACTTTGCCTCGTACACCTCACGCAGCCTCTGCGCCACCGCAGCCTGGCGCGGCAGACGCGTGCCAGAAGGTGCATCGGGGTCGAGCAGCTCCTGGGATGGAGGCTGTGAGGCCGAAGAACAGAGCTCGCCTTTGAGGAACCTATGTAGAAGGCGGAGGTGGAGGTGTTGTTGTTGCTCTTGTTGGTTTTGTTCTTGTTCTTGTTCTTGTTCTTGTTATTATTCTTCTTCCTGTTCTTGTTATTCTTCTTCTTCTTCTTGTTATTCTTATTATTATTTTTCTTCTTCTTCTTCTTCTTCTTCTTCTTCTTCTTCTTCTTCTTGGTGGTGGTGGTGGTGGTCCATGCAGAGCACTTGGAAACTCTTGGGGTCATGGAGTTGGACCATCCATTCTTTTTGCTAAACTGCTGGCTGTCACCCAGGCCCGCTTTCACTGCACAGGCAGAGAAATCCCCACAAAACACAGGTATTGAGCAGATCTGTATCCTAATTGATGGTGTCACTCTAGGATTAGGTCACCCTTGGCACTACGAGATCCAACCCGGATGCTGCTGTTTCACCCGGAAAGACGCCTAATTCGACCCCATGTTACGGCAGCCATGAGGTTACGTCGCCACCCAGGTCGCCACCAAGTTGCAGCCCCTTCGGGGCCACTGGGCACGCATTGGCTGGTCAGCGAACCCATTGGCGGAGGCAAAGGAAGGGAGGCGGTCGTGACCCGAAACAACTGCCCATAACTGCGTCGGCGGGCAAGCATGACTCGTCCGACCCCTGAACTGTACTCATCATCATCATCATCATCATCATCATCATCATCGTCATCGTCAATATTCAATATTCAATATTCAATATTCTTGAACTTATCCAGCGGTCTGGATGGCGCGCCTCCTCCGTTTGGAACTCCACCTCCACGCGCCCAGCGAAGGGCTTGGTGCCTCAGTCCGCGACTGAGGTGTGGAGGTGCCAAAAACACGCGGGGTGGCCTACCACGCTAGATCAGAATTGGAGGAGACAAGTACCAAAAGGTGGAGATGTCCGGCCCAGAATCCAACTCCGTTTCTCTAGAGGGCCAAAACCTGGCTGAGGTTGAATCCTGTGGCCCTGAATGGCCCCAAGAAAACACCTCGTGTCGGCCCTGTCTGGTAGAACCACCCCTTGCAGTTTGCGGAGCCTTCGGAAAAACCAAGCAGCCTCCCCTCCTGCCAGGGCGCCGGAGCTCCCGCCACTGCCCACTTCGCGGAGCCTCAGAGAAAACCGGAGGCTCCGACTGTCCCAAATCCACCAACCAGTTTTCCTAACAAAAAACCAGTGGTGGTTCAAACGTCCACCTCTAAGACAAACCAAACGCGTCAAAAAATTGTTGGGGGGGGGACTGTGGAAATGCGAGGAAGACGATTTTGGTGACTTCTTCAACCAATGGATGTCCACGACCCATCGCTACCCCTCACGACCCACCGGCTACCCCTCACCACCCGTCACGACCGAGTCGCAACCGAACGAAGGCGACCACCCCGAAGGGCTCGCAGAGTTGCGTCACCTCTTCGAGGCTCGGCTCCGGGGTGGCACCTGTCAGGCCGGTTGAGAGCCCTGACCACACGTGCGCCACATGGATGGATGGCCGTGAGCCCGAGGCCCCGTGCACGGAATCATCCACAAAAGGTGCTCATTGACAACTTGAGTGAATTACTGTATGGTTGCCCACTCCCCACCCACAACCCTCTCTCCCCAAAGGGTCAAGCACCCGGCCTGTCGGAAAGCCGGCCAGCTGCACCGACCGCTTCTCCTGGGCCCAGCGCACCGGCGCGTGCGAAACGGGGCGTCAAGCGGACGGCGCCGAACTGGGTCTACCGACGAAGTCGCTCCCAGGTCCGCCGAAGGACCTCGGCAGGCGGAGTCTTGCGCTGGGGTGAAGAGGGCCCTGGCTCGTGCGTGTGAAGAACTCAGAGAATCTGAGACGAAGGGGCCGTGGAGGGATACGAACGAAAGGGAAATGAAACGCAAGGAACCCAAGGATACCAGCAAACAGCTCTGCATATCGAAGTTGATGCCATTGAGGTGAGGGTGGCATCATTGGGCCAAAGCACGTCCGGGACCGAAAAGCGACTTCCTGCGTCAGGACGTCAACGGTGTCCCTTCCGAGCTTTTTCCAAGCTGCAGGGGCGGCGGAGGCACGTTGCCCCGCCGGCGGATGCCGTCCCGCTGCTCCTGGCACGAGAACCCAAGAAGACCCAGGAGAGCTAAGTTGAAACATGTTGAAACGTGTTTGGACCCAAAGCCCTTGCCAAAGGGGCTCATGTGGCTCATCCTGCCCTTGCTTCAGCGCACCGACAGTTCCAGGTTGAACTTGGCCTCGGCTGCCTGGGACTCAGGACTGGAGTTCACCACACATCACCGGGGTCCGAGATGTCACCCAGGAAGGGAAGGAAAGGGAAGGAAGAAATCAAGAGAATAATGAGAGAAAATCAGAGAGATTGAGAGAGAATGAGAGAGAGAGAGAGAGAGAGAAAAAAAAAATAGTAAAAATAAATAAACATGAACACCCTTCTGTGTGTGTGTGTGTCAATGGAGCCAGCATGATAAAAGGTGCGGTGGCCTCCACCGCTGCACAGACTTCTGCACGGGTGGAGCCTGAGCAGGGCGAAAGCCTGGAAACGGCATGCAACATATGAATGCCTGGAGGCACCCTTTGCCACCCAGTAGCACTCAATCATGATCAATCATGTCCCCAACACTTCACACATGGATGGCGTGTCTGATGCTGCCCATTCAGTTTCAGTTTCTGGATAGCATGAAATGCCCGCCCACGGCCGATAATTGCACTCACTGTGGGAAAGGTTGAGCCCAGCACTCGCTAGCCTCTGACTTTTCGAAAAGCGGGGGCGAGTGAGGAGTCCTTTCACATTCTGACATGTTTTGCTTTTATCCTCTGCTCCCACCGTGCTGCCCGGACAGCCCATGAGCTTCAACCGGTTGAAAGGTAAAATGACCTCGGCCATGGCACTGTCCAAACACGGACACAAAACCCGTTACTGCCTTAAGGGTTTCGAAGCACACTTGCACTTCCAGCCACTTACGGATGACCATGACGAGGCCCCTCCATCTCCCAAACGAGGCCCCTCTGACGTTCCCGGACTGAGATGGGCACGAAACCATCGTCAGAGGAGACCTCCAAGCAGCTGGGGCAGTCAGCAACACGCAGTCAGGAGTATAGTCCGAATTGGGCGTCCTTCAGAGGGAAGATGCTCCTAGGAGCAGGATATATTGAATCTTTACGGATGCACCGGGCAAAAATGCCCTGTTTTGTTCCGCATCAATCCCTGAAGAAGTCTGACCCGGCCACTTTGAACATTGTGGAGTTCGAAGGACCTCATCAAATGCCCTGTGCGTTGATGCTCACATGTAGTCCAGTCTGATCAAAGTCGTGTTGAGGACCTTCATCTCTAGACCTGCCTAGCCGTGCCCGAAGAAGAAACATAAAACCATACCGTCGGTTTCGGCCTATGTCCCATCCAGTGAGTCGGAGGTGACGTCCGGCACCGACGTCCCAGACCCCTCGACGCGCCGCCCTCCGTCCGCGGTTCCCCCGACGATCTTCTCCCGCAGGAAACGGTCGCGCCGCAGGTTGCCGTCCTCGTGGGAACACGGCGATCAGTGGTGAAGGTGCAGTGGACAAGTGACTGTAAGACTCAGAGGCAAAGGACTGCGTTGCATTGCATGGCTTTCCAAAGAATAGAAGTGCAGTACATATGGGCAAGGAATCCGGAAAAAAAAAGTGACCCTCCACGCCAATCAAAATGGAGGGGCCCTCCAAGAGAATCGGGCGCTCACTGAGAAGTAGAAGGCCAACTGCCGGATCAGCGCAGGCTGACGCCTCAACCGAGAATCTGGTGGCGACGCGAAACAAGACCGCGAACTCGGGTGTGCTGGGAGAATGGAAATTTACTAAAACCCATTGGGTGGGGCTCTTTAAATATTGAAATGCGCGCCCATGTGGGAAATGATGAAACTGATGTAGGATTGCTGCAATTCGTGTCCCCGCGAAGTGCTGAGGAACCCTGCGTTTGTCTGTCGGCCACCGCTTTCTCAACAAGTTTCACTGCCTGGTGGCAATTCAACTGCCGAAATTCTTTGCTCAAAATGTTCAGCAAAAATATAACTTTATGTTTTGGACACAACTTCCAAAGCAAAATACTCAAACAGTTTGCTTGCAATGACCTGAGGTGATGTTCGCCCACTTGTTTCTGGCATCCTGTCCTCCTCCAACTGGTCTAGGTCTTGCAACTTTTCCCTCAGTGAAAGTTGCAAAAATTGTTGGCCCTGAGCTGTACAACTGCTACCGGTACCGGAGCATTTGCCAGCAACCACTGACATTACAAACCTTCCAACTGACTGCAAAACAGGGCGTGCAACTCTTCTGCCAGCAAATCTGAGGCCACTACAACGTACAATGCAGCCTTTCATGCAAAAAGTCAAAATCTCTCCGGTTCTACTCCTTGCACACCCCACACCACGTTTTGGCCAGCACGGTTGGCCGCGCATTTTCCACACTGCCTACGGCCTGACTCCAGCAAATGCGGTGTTTTGCCCTGGCCCGAATGCACAGAAGGCTGCCGTTCCAAATCGCCAGCGTGGCCGATCCAAGGCATTCTGCCTCGTGCGAGCGGCCTCACGAGGATTGATGGTTCGGCAACCCCGACATTACCAGGTTGAACTTCGCCAACTGTGGTCAGCCTAGCCTCCCTCACTTCATCCTGGCCCACGTCCTTGAAATCCACCTCGGTCTTTTCTTGTCCCTGATCTTGTGGATCACCTGTCGCCTCCGCTTTCGCCTCTCCCTCTGGTTCCTGCTTTGCATTGGACTTGTACGTTCCACTGTTAGCAACTGTAGGCAAAATTATAATCAGAACGCAGTGACACATTCAACGAGTTCACTCCTCATCATCCACCATACGAACCCACCCTCCGGGCTTCAATCACGGCCAAGTGGCACACAAGTGTTCAAGCTGGTGTTGGGTTTGTCGACTTCATGCCAACCCCACATTACAACATGGGATGCACATGCACTGCCCGAATGGAAACTTCCTGTGATGCTTGTGGCAAACATTGTTTCACTGTGAGCACCAAAGCATCGGACGAAATCTGCGAAAACCACAAGCCCAATGTGAAGCGGTGTGCTTTCGGAAAAATATCGGTTTCACAAACCACGCAACCGTCTACTTTTTCTTTTAGATGACCTGGAGTGTCCTTGAGTGTCTTGAGTTTTTGCTTGTGTCCTGGCTCAGACTTGTTTAAGTGTCTTCAAGTCTCCGTGAGTGTTTGCTCAATGTTCTGAGTCATTATGTTTGAAGTTTCATGAAGTTTCCCTGGATGTCCTTTAATGTCTATAGTCTACACTTTTATGTTTCTGGCGTCCCTAACTGCGGCAAAGGGAGGGTAGTGCGTGGAAAGGGCTTAGTAGAACCCTATTCCACTAACTTTGTGGAAGGTCCGGTCATTCGTGGAACCTTTGCCTATTCATATAGCATTCGTGAAATTATGGATCCTTAGGAATACAAACTCCAACAAAAACCGGGAAACCTTCGCAGGACTTAGTGGCAAGTTTTCTTTGGATAGTGCAGTAGCTTTATAAGGATTTTGCGCTCACCCTATTTCCGCACACACACACACAAACCCTCCATTGTGGGAGGGCCATGGTATTCCTTCTGAGATTTGCGAAACATTGATCGAGACCATCGCTGCTGGATATGTCGTGGCTCATACACAGATCCGGATATAAGGTAGAGAAAGTTCATAAAAACTTAAGGACACGCTCCATTGAGGACAAGTGAATGAAACCTGAAGTTTTGGCACAACACCCTAACTCTTGAAGTGCCAGCGGTGCGATTGTAGCTGTTCCTGGGCCAGGAGCAGACGCAGTCTGGGAGCCAAGTGCAAGGATGACTGGCGTTCGTTGGTTGGGTGCCGGTCACACATGCAGTGATAGCAAGAAGACCTATCACAGCAAAATCGCCAATAGAAAATGGCCTTGTGAGCTTGTGGTTCTTTCTCATGGATCCGATGTTACAGACATTGTGTATCCAAACAGCACACCTAACCTGGATACATGCTTGGCTGCAGAGATAACAAGAAAATGGCCCTGTAAGGTTGTGGTTCTTTTCGTGGTGTTCTGCAAGTGTTCCTTCTGGATCCAACATCAAACCTCAATGTAAAGATTATTTACAGACGTTGGGTACCCAAACAGCAAACAACCAATACAATACACATCCATTTGCCTGGACATGGATGCGCTGTTGCTGTCGGAGGAATCATTGGACCTATTGCGCAACGGTGAGGTAACAGGAGTTATACGTGGGACTTCTACCTCGAAGCGTGGAGCAACAACCCTTGATTCATCCCATTTTCTGTTTTGTTGGTCACACATTGCAGAAGGCGTGCTCTGACCCACTCCTTGCACTCTACGTGAGGATATTTGGCTCGCGCAAACTGCCATTGCGAAGTTTGTAGCGAGGGCTCGCCTTGTGGCAGTGCCTGGTTTGGACGAGCAGTCTACCCGAAGCATGGGAGAGGCAACGCAAGAGCAACATAGAAGACAGACTAAGCTACACAACTCCTCACTTATGGGAGCTCCCCAACTTAGAATGGCTTTCCGAGCCTTGGGAGATACCTGCTCAAGCCCGCGCAGGCTGGCAGTTCTTGCAGGTTGAACCTATCAAACGCAAACGCCCCAACAGCGCCAAAGCCTGGCACGAGCGATTGCCCCCGAAAGCCGCGGGCAGATGGCAGAAAGCCCAATGTCCCAGAAGAATTGTTGCTGTCGCAAAGGAGACCCAAAAAAAACAAGAAGGTGAAGCGCCCCAACCGTAACGCCCCAGCTATCTCTGCCAACGTCGACTGTGTAGATCGAGGAAGGCAATGCGTCGACGCCGCCATAAGGCTGAGCAGGTGCGCAACTTACCAAGGAAATCTTTGCTACATCATCTCCACCTTCAAGCGTAGAAATGTAGCCATGGCAGATGTTCTTCCACTGCAGCGTGCGCAGGTCGACTTGACCGCGACAGCGACCCGAGCAAACGCGCAAGCCTGTTGCCAGAAGGACTTGCATGATATTGGTAAGACATGTGTCCAGCTCCAAAAACGCAATCTCAGAAAAGGTCGACTTTTTTTCCAGGTCATCCCTCCTCACTCACATAAGCACGCTGCTGATGAGCAGAGTTTGCCAAGTCTACTTGGCCCCCCGGCAGTCAAGTGACCCTTTGCCTGATCGCGAGACATTCAGTGGAGAACCCATCCACGTTGAACCGCTAGCCGCCCAGGAGCACAAGAGCCTCCTGATTGAAGGCTGCTGGCATCAAGTGGTTGCACCTTGGCGTGTGTATGTGTGTGTGGGCACACGGCCACTGATGAATGTTGATGTGATTCTCCGCGTTGCTCGAAAAATGTTTACTGTATCTATATATTGCTTGCTCATAGGTATGAATCCGGCAAGCCCATTGCTCCAAGGAAGAGCGGAACCAAAGAATGATTTGCCCGTGTTTTTTTGTGATTTGACAAAAGGTGTATATATATATATATCTTTTCTGGCTGATACATATCAATATTGCCCCTCCAATAGGGGCATCATGCAATGCGATGTTTCGCCCACCATGGATGGAATGTCCTTTTTTGTTTGCATCGGTACGCCGTGACGTATGCCAGCGGGCAACGTTTTTGTTGGACACACCATGCGTCCAAGCAACGTGTGTTGTGGTTTTCTGGACGTTGGATGGCGCAAATGGCGCAGAAGTTCTCCGAAGTGCCAACAGGAGCTGCCGTCAAACGCAATCTTCTTGACCTTTATGCCTCTAATTCTCTCCGGTTGGCCACTTTTTCAACCAGCCAAACAACTGCGCACACAATTCTAGGCCAGTGAAGTCAGTGCCGCCAGCTGTCTGGAGCTCGCCCTTCAACCGCTGTGATTTACGCCTTGTGCGGCATAGATGGCTGCCTATTGAAGCCGTGCGAGCTGCTGCCCATTGAGTCCTGGGCCCACATGAAGCCAGAGTTGGAGAACCTGGCCGATTTCATAGCTTGCAATCGTTCCAAACCAGTTTGGCCTAGTTTTGCTGATGTGCGCCCCTAGGTTCTCAAATTCTGCCTTTCCTGTATCGTGGTTCAAAAGCTGCTGAGGAGACAGCACCGCGAAGCAGCAGGACTTGCCCAGCAAGAGATTCTTAACGGCACGTGTGCCAAGGGAAATTCAAGGCTAGTGCGGAGGGACGCTCACTCTGTAGAGCCCGGTCCTGACCGCAAGTCTCTGCTGCGATTTTGGAAAACATTCATTTCTTTCAACTGTCGCGCGTCCAAATTCATGGTACACGAGGTCCATGCATTGGCCAGACTTGTGCCTCCAACCAACAGCGACGGCCCAATGTTCTTCGCAGATCACAAGAATTTCATGGGTTAGACTCCGTTTGCCAACGCCGCCGCACAGACCCTGTCCGGCTGATCGCATCTTTCGCGCATTGTCTGAGGACAGGTTGCGACAGAGGGTGCTGTATGTGTTGCACTTGCTGGTGCATGCTACGTCGTTCTCGGCATGTTGCATGCGCCGATAATAGTGACAGACATGGTGAGACAGTGAGACAGATGTCGCAAGCCCCTTTCAGGCCTTTTCGCCTTTCTTGATTGAAGCAGTGCACAACAGACATTTTGATCGGGACAAGTCTTGCGCTTCAAACAGCCAGAAGACAGAAATACAAAGTTTCTTGGGGCCGCCATATGCTTCTGGCGCACAGACTTGGCGCCGGATAGACAAACCTTGGCGCGGCTTTGTGCGCGTTTCTGCGTGAAGCTACATGACACAGAGGGCAACTACAATGTCCGCAACGCGAAAGACTTCAAGAGGGAACTCTGGCGCATCATCCGGCGATACAAACAGCGCAGAGGGACAACAATGCTGTGACGGAGAAAGGTGCTTCGCGAAAGGCAGAAAAAAATCATTCAAGGCAAGGCCGATGTCCTCAGCAAGAAGGTAGCAGCTGCAGGCTAGGTTTGAAGGGGTAATAGAATAATAGGATTCATAGTAAACTGACCGTGCGTGCTAAGTTTGAGAGAGCTGACCGGCGCCACACTGCTTTGCTATACGTTAACATCTCTGCAGGTTCGTACCTAATATTGAGCGCAGCCGGCCGACCGACAGGCCCCACACCATGGATCAATGTGAATTGGGGCAGAGAGTGTAGATTTCGGGGGCTGGGCGGCCAGATGTGTTTAACCACAATGTGAGCTTCTTCAACGCACTTCAGAGCATGTCAAAGCTCTGGGGTCTGAAAGAAGTTTGTTGACGAACAGCAGGCAAGAGCTGGACGGTGCGGGCTGGATGCAAGAGCTATGCAGATCCACGTTCGTAGATGCCAACTTGAAAATCCTGCGGGCCCCTTGCAGATGTTCATTGTCTCTTTCATGGGTCAGCCGGAGAAGTAATAGTGACAACGACATGCATGAGTGGATTGCTATGCAGAACACTTGGATGATGGAGGAGTTAAGCGGCGAAAGTTGGCAGCTGTTATCCCATCGGTCAAACCGTCACGTGCCATCTTTTTGGGTGGAGCAGTCTCCAGACCTGATCATGGTATTCTTTTCTGCTACCCAGGTGGCTGGGTGCACACCGAAGGCCACCCTGCTCAACGTCCGGGTGGCCAATGGCTAAAAAGGCTACATGGCCAACGGAGAAGGGCGGACACCAGCACTACAGGGCTGGGAAGCAAACGAAATGCTACATGGCCAGCTCAAAAGGGCGGACGCCAGCAGTGACACACGTGGGAGACAAATGAAATAGAAATGCTACATTGCCAGCGGAAAAGGGCGGACACCAGCAGTGACAGATGTGGCAGACAAATGAATAGAAATGCTACATGGCCGGCAGAAAGGGTGAACCCGACCACAAGCACCGAGCCTGGGAGACAAATGA